TTGATTCTTCTCATTCAACGATTAATGTAATTCCAGACCATTATTTTTTATTTTAGTTTCGATATACAAAAATATATTGGTGTACCTTTTTCTCTATAAATTTAACAACCATGTTAGCGAAACTTTAACAACCGCTTCAGAAACTCAAACAGATACTACAGAATCCAACTCGAAACATTTACATTTTACAATTTTCAGTGATAAAATGTTTCTCAACTTAATCCATGTCACCTTTACCATTGATTCCGGAATTCAACAGATTAAACGAGCAGGAACGAAATATTCTTGACCTTTATAAAGAACTTCGCACTCGCCTCTGGAGAATATTATGTAGAGAAAAAAAAATCTGGGAAAAGCGATGACACGGATTCTTATGGATGGCTCTCGTGCTAGATAAAGGAGTCGATCAAACCACCACGCAGGTTCAAGCTACATGATTGAGAATGCGAATTCTGTTGATAATAGGTAAATGATGAAATTCATCGCATATATGTTTCAATTTATTTCTTTCCAGAAATCAAGCAAATACTAATGATGAAAACCACACTACCAATACACAAGATAACTCAGAGGATCTAATGCAAACATCCCATATACATAAAATAAATCAAGTACCATCCTTAAACTTTTTTTTTTTTTATTAGTTTATTAATCAAAAAATAAAAAAATTATCTTAAAATTATAGATTTATTATAAATATTTAATAATGTAGTTAACATCTTCGGGTTTCGTTAGATAATGTATTTATTTATTTTTGTTCAGTATTAAAATATTTTCTCCGCATCGTTTTCAGCCTCAATTATTGCGGTTTTTCAAAAAAAGCAGCTAAAATTCATTTTATTAACAGCATTATTCCATGAAGCAAATTGAGTTATACAAAATTCGAAATAATAATTATTCCTTGCAGCAACAAAAAGCTAACATTATTACATAAGGATTCATTTTGTAATTCACGAATAATGATCCATCTTTAATATAGAGTGTCCGCTACCTTTCAGTGCATTAACGTAAGAAAGCCTTGACGGTCTCGTTTGCACTTGTGATTCCTCAAAAGCTTCTTTGATCTCCAGAACTAGCAACTAAATTCGTAATTTAATATTAATATGTTAATGTAAAGTCATATATTGTAATAAAAAGAATACTTACGGCCCACTTTATAATACATTCGTAAAAAATATGAACTCCCTTATCTCTGTAAAGTCACGTGGTAGATTGGCGTTATCTACTTCATTAGGACAGAATTTTCCTCCTAAGATTAGAATTATCATTAGTCAAAATATAATGAGTAAATAACACAGATAATAATAAATAAATACCACAGTAATCATAAACTGTAAATGTATTCGAAGTCGAAAACTTTGACTACCAAAAATGGCAAGATTTTTGGGTAGTCGCCTTCTGCATTTTGCGTTATCTTTGAATACGTTTATAAAAATTTTTCTTAGGTTTTTGGAGATTTTCAAAGCATCTGCTATTTCTTTATCATCTCTGGCATATGGCCTTGAACCTTTCATATAAACTAATTGATATTTGTCTGCATTATTTAAAAATCCTATACCATATGCATATTCTCGTTTATAGTTTTCGTGGTTATCTCCCCAACTCGTAAATTATAGATGAGATGTACCATAAGCTAGCCTGCAGACATGGATACACAAATGCATTTAAATGTGGTCATTCTAATGCAGTCAAATTCAAAAGAGGATTATTTATCCTAGTGAAAATGCCATAATACTATAAAAGTTAAGTAGATGCCGTAACTAAAATTCAATAATTTGTAGGGAAAATGTTTATACTTACAAAAAATGGTAAAGTCCTGCCCAAGATTCTTATCATTGAAACCATTAAATGATCAGTTTTATCTGAACATTTTAGGTCATCGATCTTTTCATTCCAATCACTGCCCGTTAAATTCTGTTTGAAAAATTTCGTTAAAAAGTCGTGGATGTTTGATGGATCAAACTATCGATCCTATCATCGAGATATTTAAGATAATTGCAAGAATGTTTAAAGGGAGTTGTTTTGTAAAATTTGAATTGGGTCTCAAATCAATCAGAGGATCATTTGGGTAGATTTCATTGTGGTATTGACAGATCGACATCATATTGTCAGAACAATGAAATTCGGATTCAAACAAATCTTGTAGTGACAGGTCCTATAAAAATAAATACTATAAATACATTTCCTATTTTGTACATTTACAAGAAGAATGCGCATACTCACTGCTACCATTTGATCATCTTCTATTTCACGATTCTGTTCGGAAGATTTACCTGGGGTTTCTGTTTTTAACGTAGAAAGATTCAGTAATTGTGTTAACAATCATATTTATAGATAATTATCTCATACAATGCATCAATAACTACATATAATTACCGAAATCTCCTCAATGATACTTTGATCGTCTTCGTCATCAATAATATCCTTTGATTCAAAAAAATTTTTCAACTTGTGGGGATGTTTTTTGAACCTAAAAATGAAGGTATGGCCAAAAAAGAATAATAAAATTAATTTGCAGAAGATACATTTAGAAGAATTATTTCATCACAACAATCTATTCAGAGGGAACACAAATGGGAGGTTTTCTATTAAAAATCGAGTTACGAATATAGTAAATCATATGATCCGTAATGTGTTTTAAATAGCAAACCTCCCAAATGATTGCTTGTGCTGACGTAAATTGTCTTCAATATTCGGCACATACCCTTGCTTTATCTAAGGCCCTTTTAAAAATCTCCGAGTAGTATCCAGATGTATAATTTGCTTTAAGTACTTCTAATTCTTTTACGTATTGAGAGTACACTTTTTCTTTATTGAATGCCTACATTCCGCCAGAAAAATTTGTTGAATTGAACAAGCAATTTTAATTTGTTCAGAGCGTATACAATAAGTTGAAACAAAAGGCAATTTCCATACCTGTTCTGTTCTGTTACGATGTTTTAAGTAACTAAGATAAGTTGGTTTAGTGATCTTTAGCCAATAAAGATTTGGTAATAGGTTTTCGCCACTAGATGAGTCTAACCATTCTCTCTTGATTCTCATTTTCGAAAATAATTAGTAAAAAATAGTTTGTTTAAATAGATATTCAGGAGGTCTTACGATTAACAGAATCAGGAAAAAGCAACTTTACTATTTCATTACGGTTCAACACAATTATAGTAAGTCATTATTGGCGTCATGTTTTCATGCTTTTGTGCAGCCACATTAATGTCTGAAAAAAAAAAAAAAAAAAAAATCACGCAACCTACCAAATCCACAGCCTAAGCCGATCCTCTATCGTAAAACCGAAAGACAAACCTAAAAAAACAAATAATAAGTAATCAAAAAAAAAAAAAACAAAGCCAACCTAAACAACCTGCGGTCATCAAAACTGAAGGATGAATCATAATGAAACACGATGCAAGCCCGATTGTATTACGTACGGGCTAAGATGGTATGTCATATACTTATATTGGCTGTTTCTGTGGCAAAGTTAAAAATTGATTCTAAGCCAAAAAGGAAAATTGGTTACGGTATCTAATGAAAATACATGTTACACAATCACATTTTTTATTTTTTTATAATGCGTTTTATTCGTGATACTTTAGCTATTGTTCAAAATTAGTGGATAATCTAACTAAAAACCTTTTTGTTTGACAAGATAAAAAATAAATTTGTAAATTTTGCGAATGGTATAAATAGAAAATATTTTTTTTCGGGATCGACTAAAATCGTAAGCTATGCTGTGCTGGAGAAGTTCTATAGCTTCCTTGAACTTATGATTATAAAAAACACGAAGTTTAAGAACATCCATAATCGCTGTCTCTGGATTGAGATTATTCGTACTAAAATATTCACACGCGTTCGCCAAATATTTTGCCATGTTAGAGCAAATTTTGTTATACCATGACCGAATAAATTCTTGTAACACTAAATCTTTCGCTCTACCATTCGATCTCTGCTTTGATATTAACAGCTAAACAAATGATGCACAGTTTCGAGGTCGCCCTCTGAGAATATATCTCAAGAGGTTGCAAGTTTCGGGCGTAACATGCGTTAGGTCAATTATGGCATCAAGGTTCTGCAAGACATCATCATGTGAAAGAAAGGGAAGTTTTAGTACAATATGAGTATGCAAATTTGGAACTTTTCCAGCAGAAGTGATAAGAGAAATTCCGTTCGCCATATGCATGTATGTGCTGACAAAAAGGCAGGTAATGGGATATTTGAGATGTGCTACATAACCTTGCAAAAGATTCCATTCTTTACCAGGAACTGAACTCCCTTGATATTTTCCATATTCGAATCCACATAGGATTTGTGCTTCATCAAATATTAAGGTTAGATTAGATACTTTGAGACAAGCATTAATCTTTTTGATAAATGTAGTAATAGTAAGAGTATCATATTTTTTAAGGCCTAAGATACTTCAGACTTCAGAATCATTCGTTTGAAACTGTACAAACAGCCATTCCTTTGGTGTTAAAACTTTTCTTCAATAATCATCTTAACAAGTAAAAGTTCACGTGAGACTACCACTATGTCCAGCATGTAAAATGCTTCATTTTGTTGATCAATACAATTAAACTTAGGTTTTATACCTATGATTCTTTGAAGTTCTGATGTCAAATGGGCATCATATTGCCCTATAATAGGAGAACAATCAATATAGATTGACCAACATTGCATGGCAATTCCAAATGCTGTCAATGTTTTTCCATCTCCTAAAATTTCAGCAAGTACAATTATGTCTTTTGACTCTTCTTCAATCTTCTTTTGCACAAGAGAAACTGTTTCTTTAAATTGTAGATTTATCATAAAAGGGATTGTTATAATTCGTTTTAGATTTACCATAAGAAGGTAAACACAGATCAACTTTTATGAGAGTTTATTTAGTTATATCACGTGATAAATTTATTTTGAAAAAAGCAGGTTTCTGCTTTAATTCAATATACAGGTCATTTTGTGAGCCTGGAGAGTCACTTTCCATTGCCTCGACGTGTTAAATCAAGGTGAGTGCATTAATAAGCTGGTCAATTGAAAAGGCATTTATGTGTAAAAAGGTCTTTATAACTAAAAAAATAAAAGTGAGCGTGAGTAAAAAGTTAAAGAATTAAACTTCTAATGTAATGAACTTTTATTTTTAATTTTAATTTTAATTTCGTCAGAAAGGATGTATATCAGTGAAACTAATACAATAAAGTAAAATACTTGAAATCTGTCTGTAATTGTCAATTGTAGACTTAAACTTACAAAAAGCCATTTTGTTCAAAAGGTAAATCATTAGGAGATACTTACTGTAAACAGTAGATTATAGTACCTGAGTATCATACAAATTTAAGAATTTTAAAAGGTATTATACTATAGGGGATATTTTGAATAAAAAGGGAATATACAGAAATTTATTTTATTTTACTATATTTATAATCAGTTAAATATAAATTAAAAAATATTGATGATCTAAAATGTGGTTTGGATTAAAAGGATATGAAAATCGCAGATTATCATTTTTTAAATCAAAATCATGTTCTTACTTCTTTGTACAAAACTTAAATTCATAAATTTATTTTTGTTTCTTTGTTTTATTTATCTATACTTTTGTAAATATAGTAATATGGTTGTTCATTAAAGTAAAAACAAAAAAGCACGAGTAATAACAAAAAAAAGAAGGCAGTAGTATGCTTATGAAAAGTTACTTATAGTAAGTCATGCTAAACAATGTGAAAGCAAACATTTAGCAGCAAGAAGGTTTGATGTAAAAACAAAACAAATCTGTTATTAGATGAACCAAAAGTCTCAACTTGAAAGTGTAGCATCACATATACAAAAGTTACATCAAGGTAAAAGTGCAACACTTCCAGAATTTGAAAAAAATCTTTTTCTATAGGTATCTGATTTATGTAAGGATGCAAAAGCTATTACACAAAATATGTTAATTAGAAGAGCCAAAATAATTGTTAAGAAAAAAAATGGTAGATCTATATCCAATTATTACTCAATTTAAATTTTCTGAAGCATGGTTAGAGAGGTTTATAAAAAGATATAATCTTGTTACAAGAAGAAGAATGCATATTACACAACATCTTCCTGATGATCTTTTGATAAAACAGCAAAATTTCTTAAGTTTTGTTTTATATAGATGAATCCAACATGATTATCCATTAAAATATATTGGCAATATGGATGAAACACCAGTTACATTTGATCTACCTTATTCAACTACTTTAGATCATTGTGATATTTTAACTATTAATATACAAACTACTGGTCATGAAAAAATAAATTTTACTATTATATTAAGATGTATAGCTGATGGTACAAAACTACCAGTTGTTTGTATTTTTAAGCTTATAAATATACCAAAAGAATCATTTCCTCAAGAAATTCATATATGTGTAAATGAAAAAGGATGGTATAATAAACAAGAAATGCTCTGGTAGATTGAGAATATATAGACTCAAAGAAATGCACTTAACAATTCAAGAACTTTATTAGTTTTAGATTCTTTTTGTAAACATCTTGTTGAATCAGTTAAAAATAGCTTTAATGAAAAGCAAACTAATATTGCAGTCATTCCTGGTGGTCTTACAAATAAATTATAACCTTTAGATGTAGCTATTAATAAAAGTTTTAAAGCAAAGTTGCGTTACTATTATAATGAATAGATAAATTCTGAAATTCGTGAATTAACACCTGCTGGAAGAATCAAACTTCCTTCTTATGTTATTGTAGCTGAATGAGTAAAAAAATCATAGGCTGGTATAGATATTTCTTTAATTCAAAAGTTATTTAAATATTGCGGAATTTCTGTTACTAGAAATGAAAATGAAGATAATTTGATGTTTGATTATGATATTTTATTTAATAATACAAAAAAAAAGAAAAGTGGGTAGGATAAAGTTTGAAATATTGATAATTTTAGTAGTGACAGTAACGATAATTCTTATAGAGATAGCAATAGTAGCGATAGTGATGATAGCGATAGTAATAGTGACAATATTAATAGTAATAAGTCTGACATAAATGAATATGAAGAAAAGGAAGTTTCAGATTATGAGAACGAATATTAGTTGATAGATAAATAATAATTTTAATTATGTTCTTAATAAATTTACTGCAAAAATAAATAAATGCGTCATATACATCATGATTGCGATAAATCAATAAACTTAATTTTATTTATTGTATATGCCGATCAATATAAATTTTTAAGTATAATACCCTTTATAATATAATATCTCCTAAAGTGTAATACTCACCAGATACCATACAAATTAAGTAAAAAAATCTTGCACTCTTCATGCATAGTATCTGGATTTTTTTGTATTAAAATTATGGATATGGTACTATACTATAGGAGATACTATAGTCTACTATTTACAGTATCAGTAGTGGCCAAAGGTTATACACTACCCTACAATAAATTATCAGATTTTATAAATTTTACTTAGTAATATATAGTAAAATTAAAGATTTTTAGATTATATAAAAGTTTATGAATTTTTAATAAAATACATATTAGATTTTTTTATTTAATAGCCAATCAATTATAATTTTAAAAATATAATTCAAAAATATTTTATTTATAAAATATCAAAAAATACTCATTTTTAAAGTAATAAATAAAATAATTTTATATATAAAAAATACAAAAAACATATAAAAAAATAGTTGCTTATACTTCAAAATGAAAAGTTTTTCATGTTTTAAATTTTTTTTTTTCATTTTAATATCTAAAAACTATAATTAATTAGCTATTAAATAAAAAAAAAATCTGAAAATTAGTAAATATTTATACAATTTGAAGATCTTCAATTATACTATAAATTATTAAGTAAAATTTATAAAATCCAGTAATTTATTGTAAAGCAGTGTATCATATCACATGTATCACTCTAGATTCCTGCCAATTTCTCGATAATTCTAGAAGAGTTTCAGAAGCTAGTGAATTTCTATGCATAGTGTCTTTAGCTAAATCACGAGATGATCAGCCTTATAAAAAAATTATATAGACTTTCATATCATTTTGTATATAACATATAATACATAGATTAAAATAGGAAAAAAGCCTGATAAGGAAAAACTTTATTTGATAAACATATGTAAAGCGCATCTGGTTAATACATTAGCAGATAAAAATAGCTAAAAGGAAAGTGAACTATTTATTTTTTCATATTTTGATTTTTCTGATCTATAGGTTAACGAAATCATGTGATTATAACGCAATAATTATACAAATTCTACTTCAATAGCATCTATATTATCCTAACTTAGCTTATAGATTTATGAAGCTAAAAATGACTTTATCAATTATATCTTATTATACCTGATATCACTAAATAGATTATAAACCTTTCTTCCCTTTTTATTCTTTTCTTAATGGCATTTTTTGAGAGATCACTTGGAAGCTATTTTATAACTTTCTTAATTAGCAATCTCTGAGCCTTATATTTTCTATAACTGCTTTTGAATCTGTCAAAATTTTTTAAGTTCCTCTCCAAATGAATAATATCTCTTAATAATCTTCTAATTTGTAGCTCTATTTTTATCTTTAACTGTAATGATTGCCTTATACAATTCAGAAAGATTTCTAGGATTAGCGATTGAAGGTTACATATTAGTGCTCACAGAACTTGTGATTTTTAGCTCCTTGATAAGTCCCTTAAGAGTAGGTGATTCCCAGTTATTAGTTGAGATCTTCTACTTTTTGTTAGATGATTTTTCAGTAGAAGCAAAATTTATAGTGCGTTTATTCTGCGTAATACTTGAGCCCTAAGTTTTAAAATTGTTGGTTATTATTTTATCATTGTCAGTTTTCATATCATCAGTTTCTATAACATTAGCTAATAAATATATAGGACACAGCTTTCATGAATTATCGATATAGTTGTAATGAATAATATGCATACAGGTTAAATATACAAGTAGTTTCAGAGGACCTTGAAGTTGAAAGGAGATTGAAGAAAACCTAGAGGAGTGAGGTACAAAAAAAGGTCTTTAGAACATTTAGTGTATCTCAAAGTACTTCTAAGCTGTTGAGTTGCTGTACTCTTAATCTCTCCCATTCATATAGCTGGTGAAGATAGGGTAAATGTTCTTATTAGTTAGATAAAGATAAAATTCTAGCTGATTGAAAGGTCATTCTAGGATCAGGTATTGGTAAATTAGAAATGATACCAAACACATCAGCTTGATCTAAGATGTCTATATTCTTTCTACAATTAGGGTAATATTATTATAAGACATTGATAGAACACTGATAGGATGTTGATGAGACATAGATGGAATAGATGGGACAGATAAGATATAGTGTGAAACAGGTTGGAATATATAGCTGAACATATAGCTAGAACAACAAATCTCTGGGATATCAAAAATGTATATCACTGGTTAGGGACTAGACATGTACTTAAAGTGCTAAAATAAGTTTTTTTGATACAGAGTCTGTGAAAAATATGTCTGCACATGAGATATGAGAATACTTGAGAGGAGACATTAAAATGATATTGCTACATTAAAAGCATAAACCTAGTTCTGGGAAATTGATATCTTTAACAGTTTCATTATCAAGACTTTTGAGAATATTATATTCAAGGTTTTTAAGATTAACAAGAGAGGGTCTTTCAGATTCTAAAATACTACTCTTTTCTCTACCATTATAATCAACTATGCTATATTAGAAAGGTAATAATAGATTACTATTATCTGTCTTCTCATATGAGCAAAATAATGTTCCATCTTTATGAATTTTTTCGCATAAGTCTGATAGATCATATCACTGCAAACATTTAAAACGAGCAATCTAGGTAGGTCTTCTGTCAAAATGATAATATCACATTCCATACATAGCCTATAATCTGGAATAGCTTTATTAGATTTAATCGACGAAATATCTAGCTCTTTACGAAAAATATCCTCTAAGAGGTATTTCAATATATGTAATACAAGTAATTTTAAGATTTTGTTATATCTTGGTTATACTTCATAAATATCTTTACTTTATATGTTACCGATTGGATCTATATTGATATTATCAGTAGTGATCTCTGTTACATCAAATGGAATTTCTGTATTAGCTGAGTTCTCTTAGCTTTCTTAGTTCTCTATGGTATTATTTTTCAAAAAATAACTACATAATTTCTTATACAAGATTCTGTTTTTATAACACCAGGCAAATGTCTAAGAAAAACATTCACCAGATTTTCACTAGCAATTACGCATTGCATTTCATCATTTGTTATTTCAATAAAAAAATGATGAAGGATTAGCGTATGCATTCCCAAATCTCATATGCGAAATAAAAATTGCCAAAAAAAATATCTATACCCAAATATTGTTTTAATAATATATACTGGAGAAACAAAAGTATTGCACACTTTTATTTTTTCAATAATTTTTTATTTTTACAAAAATATACAAATTTTTTTTTATTTTTCGAAAACTGACATTAATATTTAGTATGTTCTCCATTAGTATTGATCACAGCTGAATTCTATTTGGCATTAATTGCACTAAGTTTTGGTATTCTTTTTGCAATATCGCATCCTACGCTTCTTTTACCACCTTTTTAAGCTTAGGAATGCTTAAAGGTTGAGAATTGCATTTTTGAATTCTATCTTAATTATAGACCACATATTCTCAATTAGGTTAAGATCAGGATTTTGAGCAGACCATGGAAGTAAATCTACCTTTTGAGAAAACAAAAACTCTCATGCAACTTTTGAAATGTGAATTGGCATATTGTCTTTCTGAAAAATAAATTTTTTTTTTATTTTTCAGGAAAATTTCTTGAGCGCTGAAACTACATAAGTGGCAAGAATACCTTTGTAAACTTCTCTAGTAACTGAACCTTTAAGTGATATAATGGGTCTCAACTTTAAAAAGGAAAAATATGCCCAAAACATTCTTTGAGAAGAATGTTTTACAGTCAATGCAATACAATCTTCATGAAATTCCTCTCTGATTCTCGCCACACTCGTTTCTATCCAGATTTGTGAAATTGAAAAAAAGTAGACTCATCTGTTCAAACTATTTTTTTCCAATTTTTAATGATCCAATCTTTCTTTCCATTACCTATGCAAGCCTTTTAGTCTTGTTAATTACTGAAATTAAAGGTTTCTTTTGAAGAATACAAGAAGACATATTTTCTCATAAAGTGTACAGCAAATAGTTCTTTTGGAGATTGGTTTATTGTTTTTAGTAGAAATTATTTTAGTAATATCTGTTAAATTTTTCTGTCTTAATTCTTTGCTTTTGAGAACTTTAGCCTTTAATCTTTGCTTTCCTTGATTATCAATTAAGCATGATCGACCTGATCATTTTTTGAAAGGTTCTTCTAATTTATAAGTTGCAAGATATCTTGAAATAGTTGTTTGATGACATTCTACAGCTTTTGCAATCTTTGAATTTATGTGACTCAATTTATTGGCTGTTATTATGCCTTCCTTTTGCATAAGAGTTAATTCTTTAGCGAAACACATCACGTGTTTATGTGCAAAGGTGAAAATTTTGGTTTTTTTAAAAAGTGAATTTATTAATTACTACACATTTAATCAAAATAATAAACAAATATCCCTTCAAAGTAACTGCTAGCCTATTCAGTATAAAAATCACATGGCTAGTAACTTATAAAAAATTTATTTAAATTTTTATTTTTAAACCATACAATATTTTTGTCACCCTCTTTCTCCCCTTCCAGTAGCCAGAAGATATGATCACGTTTTTGGTGATACTTGTGATGCATGTAATATTTTTTATTACTACATTCTTCAACTGCTTTTCTTCCAATTTTGCGACTCTTTCTCTAAGCTCGGTATTTCTTGCTTTAAGCTCAGCTTTCTCAAGCTCGAGCCCAATTATCTTGACCATGAGTCTGGCATTTTCTTTTCTAAGTCAGTCAAACTCAGATTCCATTTTCAATAATACGAAAAAAAATATATTCTATTCACAATATCATACAGCCCCTATTCTTCAGCAATTTTTCCAATATCATACTACGCATTTCAGGTGATGGTCCACATGATGCCTATTTTTATGTGAAAATAGATTCTGGACATAAAAGCAATTCACAGCTAAAATATTTCACACAGAAGTATCTATATCAGGCCAGGATTCTCTAAAAGTACTTAATGTAGTATATATAATATGATCTATTCTAGTGATTAATTTATTATATTTATATTATTTTAAGTAATAAAATCATATTACTCCAAGAAAAATAAAAATCATGTGACAGTATGAAAAAAATTCATGCAATAAATAATTTTCCAATACATTCACTACAAAAAAAGGCAAAGCAAAAACCAAAAAAAATATTATTTAATACATTGAGCATTTTATTCACCTTCAAGTATTTATTTATTATTTGATGCACGCTAAGTCAATCAATCATCAATTAATTTTGCAGAAATTCTAGCAACAAAATCCGCGTAAATAATAATAAAATTAACAAAATTAATCCTATCAATAATTGCACAACCTTCTGGAATATTTTGTTCATCATATTCGAATCTTTTTAGTGTAACTATTACAAGTCGTTCTGCCCCAGTATCATAAGCCTTCTTTATCTCTTTTTCCATAGTATCAATACTAAGTTCTCCTGTTTTTTCTTTATGAACCTGATACTTACTTTCCAATGCTTCGCTATATTTGTATTATTCATCAGCATGTGATAATATTGCATCTGCTGATAAGATCCTTCTGCGAAGCTTAATAATATATTTATTTAATATAACATCAATTTCTCGGTATTCCCTTTTATCAATACTTTTAGAATACATTACTACAACACATTTTCTATCTAATTCAGATTTGGTGAACTTGCTTTTGAAACTATCTTTTGGGATCAAAGGTGGTTAGAACTCCGAACAGGTCAGTTCGGGTCAGGTCAATTAAGTTACCTGAACTGAGAGGATCAGTTCAGGTCAAATAAAAATCCGACCTGATTTAAATTTTCATTTGAACTGACCCAACTCAACCTGACCCGACCTAATTTGATTAAATTATTTAAATTATTTAATAAACAATATATTATATTTGATTCAATTTAAAACTCTAATTTATTT